TACAGGGAGGGATACTGTGTATAGTGTACATGCTGTATATACAGGCAGGGATACTGTGTACATGCTGTATATACAGGGAGGGATACTGTGTATAGTGTACATGCTGTATATACATGCAGGGATACTGTGTACATGCTGTATATACAGGGAGGGATACTGTGTACATGCTGTATATACAGGGAGGGATACTGTGTATAGTGTACATGCTGTATATACAGGCAGGGATACTGTGTACATGCTGTATATACAGGGATGGATACTGTGTATAGTGTGCATGCTGTATATACAGGGAGGGATACTGTGTATAGTGTACATGCTGTATATACAGACAGGGATACTGTGTACATGCTGTATATACAGACAGGGATACTGTGTACATGCTGTATATACAGGGAGGGATACTGTGTATAGTGTACATGCTGTATATACAGGGAGGGATACTGTGTATAGTGTGCATGCTGTATATACAGGGAGGGATACTGTGTATAGTGTACATGCTGTATATACAGGCAGGGATACTGTGTACATGCTGTATATACAGGGAGGGATACTGTGTACATGCTGTATATACAGGGAGGGATACTGTGTACATGCTGTGTATACAGGGAGGGATACTGTGTATAGTGTACATGCTGTATATACAGGGAGAGATACTGTGTATAGTGTGCATGCTGTATATACAGGGAAGGATACTGTGTATAGTGTACATGATGTATATACAGGGAGGGATACTGTGTATAGTGTACATGCTGTATATACAGGGATGGATACTGTGTATAGTGTACATGCTGTATATACAGGGAGGGATACTGTGTATAGTGTGCATGCTGTATATACAGGGAAGGATACTGTGTACATGCTGTGTATACAGGGAGGGATACTGTGTACATGCTGTACATACAGGGAGGGATACTGTGTACATGCTGTGTATACAGGGAGGGATACTGTGTATAGTGTACATGCTGTGTATACAGGGAGGGATACTGTGTATAGTGTACATGCTGTATATACAGGGAGGGATACTGTGTATAGTGTACATGCTGTATATACAGGGATGGATACTGTGTATAGTGTACATGTTGTATATACAGGGATGGATACTGTGTATAGTGTACATGCTGTATATACAGGGAGGGATACTGTGTATAGTGTACATGCTGTATATACAGGGATGGATACTGTGTATAGTGTACATGCTGTATATACAGGGAGGGATACTGTGTATAATGTGCATGCTGTATATACAGGGAAGGATACTGTGTACATGCTGTGTATACAGGGAGGGATACTGTGTACATGCTGTGTATACAGGGAGGGATACTGTGTATAGTGTACATGCTGTATATACAGGGATGGATACTGTGTATAGTGTACATGTTGTATATACAGGGATGGATACTGTGTGTAGTGTACATGCTGTATATACAGGGATGGATACTGTGTATAGTGTACATGCTGTATATACAGGGATTGATACTGTGTATAGTGTACATGCTGTATATACAGGGATGGATACTGTGTATAGTGTACATGCTGTATATACAGGGAGGGATACTGTGTATAGTGTGCATGCTGTATATACAGGGAAGGATAATGTGTACATGCTGTGTATACAGGGAGGGATACTGTGTATAGTGTACATGCTGTATATACAGGGAGAGATACTGTGTATAGTGTGCATGCTGTATATACAGGGAAGGATACTGTGTACATGCTGTATATACTGGGAGGGATACTGTGTATAGTGTACATGATGTATATACAGGGAGGGATACTGTGTATAGTGTACATGCTGTATATACAGGGAGGGATACTGTGTATAGTGTACATGCTGTGTATACAGGGAGGGATACTGTGTATAGTGTACATGCTGTATATACAGGGAGGGATACTGTGTATAGTGTACATGCTGTGTATACAGGGAGGGATACTGTGTATAGTGCACATGCTGTGTATACAGGGAGGTATACTGTGTACATGGTGTACATGCTGTGTATACAGGGAGGGATACTGTGTATAGTGTACATGATGTATATACAGGGAGGGATATTGTGTATAGTGTACATGCTGTGTATAGTGTACATGCTGTGTATACAGGGAGGGATACTGTGTACATGGTGTACATGCTGTATATACAGGGAGGGATACTGTGTATAGTGTACATGCTGTGTATACAGGGAGGGATACTGTGTATAGTGTACATGCTGTATATACAGGGAGGGATACTGTGTACATGGTGTACATGCTGTGTATACAGGGAGGGATACTGTGTATAGTGCACATGCTGTGTATACAGGGAGGTATACTGTGTACATGGTGCACATGCTGTGTATACAGGGAGGGATACTGTGTATAGTGTACATGCTGTATATACAGGGAGGGATACTGTGTACATGGTGTACATGCTGTATATACAGGGAGGGATACTGTGTATAGTGTACATGCTGTGTATACAGGGAGGTATACTGTGTACATGGTGCACATGCTGTGTATACAGGGAGGGATACTGTGTATAGTGTACATGCTGTATATACAGGGAGGGA